TTAGCGCGCGAAGCGCGGCGGGCAGTCTTACGCGCGTAAGATAGCCCGATGCATGCTTATTCGCGGATCTTTGTTAATTAAAATCTCAGTAACTATTGCGAATCTAGCAAAATGGTATAGGACTTTTCACCTCAGTTTTATTCCTTCTATCTGCCTACGAGAGATGTTAAACCAATTCTGGAACACCCTGTATATATATGTATGTATATATTTGACAAATTTCTCAATAATCTAATAATTCGAGCGTGAAAAACCATCGCTACGCGACAGTTGACTGTCAAAACAGAGGTGAGTCGAAAACGCCGCATTCTCCTCATTATACTAGAGTTAGAGACACGTGCACTACAGAGTTACACACTTAGTCGCTTGCATATTGTGTTAGTTACGCAATTAGTCTAATTGAATACGTAGTGTACAATTGTTTATGTTTGCCGTTTGTTACCATTAGCATTTATTATTTGCACGTGGGAGATATTGCGTGTAATTAATGTTTGTTTACAAGGAATATTAATTAACGTTCAAGCCGAGAGATTTATGACGCGGAGAGAGAGAGTTGATTAAAAAGAATTTTATGAATAAAACTCTGTAAAGCTGAGCTGATGGTAGGGAGGAGAGAATCGCGATAAGATAAACGCCTACGGAACCGACGTCTGCGTCACCCACGCTGCGCCCTAGCTGTTCGCGGCTGCCTATTTTCAGGCGCCGTTACACCGCGACGATGAAAGTAATAAAGGCAGAAGAAAAAAAATATGAAAAAAAAAATAAAATAAAAAAAGAACCGAATGACGTAGCGCGCTCCAGTGGAAGTTTAATTATAGGTATTTATTAAATAATATACAGGTAACGCGTATATAGAGTCGAGTCCGGTTTAATATCTCTTGTCGTCTTAATTATTGTCGCCAATCGCGACTTTCCGTTAGCGAGATTTTTTTCGTTCTCGAAGAGTGACGTCGAAATTCTTCGATATGTCGCTAAGCGTGTAAATATTTGCGATTAGCACTTTATCGCATGCTTTTATAATGCGGATTTTTAAATAATATTGTCAATAATATTTTTTGATATCGAGAATATTATCAAAAATTGTTGCGGACACCGTTGTGGACGGAGAGAGTCACAAACATAAGTCGGAAACATACGTAATACGGACTTTGTACGAGTAATAATTCTGTCAATTTCAACAAATATATTTGTTGATACTGTGACGGTATTATTGATTGTGTTAAGGTCGGTGTTATTAGACTTGCATCCGGCGGGACTGGCTGGGCGCGCGCACGCGCGAATTTGTCGCGTTTTGGATGACGGTCGAGAATTGACAAATATGTAAATTCGATGTAATTATGCGCATAGAGATTTTCACCAACAAAACGTAATTGTCACAATCGCGCGTTTCTCTCATCTCGCGCGTGCCGATTTCGATTTTCAGAAACGCGTCTCCGATCTTTTATCTCGCGCGCGCAAAATAGCACACGTGACTCGCGAAGTTGTTGCGCAAATAATTTGTGTTTTTGGCAAAGTAACGACGAGCGTGAGAAACGCAGAGCGTGGGCGTGAACAGTAGCCGTTCGAAATTGCGTGTGCCAGGAGTCGTATTTATACTTGCGTCCTATGTTTATCCGGCGAATTCGGCAGGTGCGCTCCCGCCTTAATTAAATAACGCGTTCGATCATTTATTTCGTTTTGCGTTTTATTCGGCTTTTACAACTTGCGGCTCAAAATGTGTCGCGCGCGTTAACATTTTAATAATGATTTCGTTTGCGCTGCTTCAGATCGTCTCCCGATGATTATCGGCGCCGCGACTCTTGCGATTTACACGCGACGTCATATATAATATAACGCCAAGTTTCCGGCGAAATTGCTCGGTTTGCGAGCGAGTCGTTAAGGGAATTTTTTGCGCACACTAATCTTTTTCTCGGCTGTATGGATCGACAAATCCTTTTCTACGATTAAAGTACATATAAGAAGGGATCCGGAAGGTCCAAAGTTATATACAAAAATGAAAAAAATAGTTTAAAAAATTTTTTCCATTTTGTTATATAAATTTGGACCTCCCGGATCTCTTATTGTGTGTACTTTAATCGTAGAAAAAGATTTGTCGATCTATACAGCCAAAAAAAAACAATTAGTATGCGCGAAAAATTCAGTTTTATCGATAAAACAGACTCACTTTAGAATCCCCTTAAAACCGCAGAGCGCGGAGTCGCAATTGAAATAAAAAAGTACCGCCCCGTTCGAGAAAGTGCAGTCGCGCGCGCTCTGCTGCGTCGTCGTTATAATTTTCCAGTTTCTCGCGTCTATATTTTTCAGATACCACGCACCGAATGTTCCGACATTTCATACACCTTTCGAAATATAAAAACGTGTTTTTTTCCCCCCCTCGTACTACTTTTGTACACGTGCGCGCGATCTTTATGACGTATGCTCGTGTTTCTTCGAAGTTTCTTCTTCTTGCTAAACCGAGAAACCGCAACAATATACATATATTGCGTTACGGTAGAGCGCTATACGATCGCAATTTCCTGGGAAATTTTCCCAGGAAGAAGGCTTTCTTCCTAAAAAAAAAAAACCTTTAGCGAGCGCAAATTTGCCGCGCGAGAGAATTCAATTTTCATCATCACTTAATAATTCTTCGCCGCGGATTATTCGATTCTCCATTCGAACGTTGCATTTCTCGAGCGTTTTGTACAATCAAACGTTATTTTTCTCGAGAGAGAGAACGTTTTACGAATTAGAGGCTTTGTGAATTTAATATTTATTTTTTTTCTTTATTTTCGAGAACACTTTGCCGAAGATATTTCTCTATCGAATTCGCGACGAACTCGAAGAGATTGAAGAAAATCGCTCACAGGTGCGGTGTCTCGCGACTGCGTTTCCGCGTCGGTCGGTGGAGCGAACTCGCCGCGCGTATAATCGAGTTAAAACGTCAAATGCAATTAGCGCGGGAAGAGGCGACACGACGTGTGCGCGGCGAGAGAGTCACCTTCCCTTCAAATTGACCGGATCGAGTTCGATCAGGCGGGGGGG